GTGCGCTCCTCAGCATATTTTGCAACCACCGCCTTGTCATCAAGTAGGGCTTGGCGAGCTTCCTTATTTCTGTGACGCTGCATTGCGGCAAGAACTGTATTAGCAGACTCAGGGGTGCCCATGGCTGCGCACACCTCCTCCAGCTGGTTCTCGTCGGTCCCGTCGCCCGCCAAGTCCTTGACATATGACATCGCAACCCTGGCTCTGTTGCGGTCGGCAATGTCTGCCATTCGACACCCGAACGCAAGTTCCCCATTATGAGCTCGCTCTGTTGCGTCGGCGCCCTCTTGCAGAAGGGCCTGGAACTCGGCGCTGTCAGGGTGCGCCTTCAAGGCACGGTATTGATGACCCACTTCTCGGAGATTATTGTTGCGCATTCTTCTCACAAACGCCCTCCAAGGACCTCCAGACGGGCCGAGACGTCTTACCCCGCTGCCTGCTGCTTCTGGTTCTGGAGGGCCACGCTGCGCTGCTCCATCACTGGCGTCTCGATTTGCAGATGCTGGCCCAGGCTGGTCACGGCGGAAATGGGAGTGCACCAACTCTGATCCCAGCGTCGGCGTGTCGATGGCATGCGTCTGGATCCTGGACTTCGAAATTCTCCGAACGTGCGCGTGGAAACATTCACGCGGTATGATGTTGGTGAAAGAGACCAGAGCGTGGGAAATCAATACGGCCTTAGCTTCTTGTGAACTCAAGTCTGGGTAAGCTTCGTGGAGTTGCTTGGTCCATTCGTCCTTGATGCACTCTGGTTGGTCCACTATCGACTGTGACAGATCTGGCTGTTGCAATGCCAGGAAATTGTTGAATGGTGGGAGCCTGTGCGGGCGTGCGATCAATCTCTCAATCACACCGCCAGCCTTCTGGATCATGAGGAAGGCTGTCGCGCGCGTCTTGTTGTTCACCTCGTTTGGCAAGAGAAGTAACCACACGCGCGCATCAAACAAGAGCGCCCGAAACTTCTGGAACAGCGAATTCTCCAAGTCACCACGAGCAGCAACAAGAACTCGAAAGTCCCGATTCAGATCGCCTGCCTGTCCAGGCTGCTCGAGGGCAGCTCTCGCAGCAGAAGCTTGCTGCTGTAGTTCCCAACGCTTCGAACTCAGCCTACCTTGTGCGTCCAACATCGTCTGTAAAGGCCTGAGTACGTTCCTCAACAAAAGGGTCGCTGTATGGGGCGTCGGCGAAACGTGTTCGAGAAAGCTAAGCCCAGAGCGTACATGATTGGCCATCCTCTTCCGCTGTGCATTCGAAGCTTCTGCCATGCTAACTTCGGCGTCGCCGTCAGCTGGGCCAGGTTCGTCGTGGTCGGGATGATTGTGGTGGGGCTCCGCAGGGGGGATCGCCCCATGGGCCACATGTGCGCCCTCGTCCTGCGCAGGGCCATGACCAGCAGCCCTCTGACCGCTAGTGCGAAATCTGTCAACGAACATCCTGAACGCTGGATCGAGAACGTTGTGGAAAACTATCAGCAGGCCGATACCACTCACAGCGCCCTCGGTGCCTTTCCAACGGTGGCACTTGATGATCTGCAACTTGTCGGGTAAGAGTGCAACGGCAATTGACGCCGCAAGTTGATCCTTAAGCTCAGGCTCATTGAACTCCTCATCTGTTGGCACCCAAATGTCTATCCACTGCTGGTCGGTCCAATCACCATCTGGTAAGACTGAGAAGAGTATCTGTCGCTGAAGTCCCTGCGAGTGCCCAGCCAAAAAGGTTCTTATCGCGCAGTGCTTGTAGACGATCGTTTCATATGGTGCATTTCCACGACAAAACCTGCTCTTGTGTTTGATGACTTCCTGGATGCAATACCTGAATGAATTTGTATCCCCAGCATTTTCCAACGCCAGCGCAATATTACACATGCCTCGCAGAGCCCATTTCACATATCCACCAGCCTCGTTGTGCGCCTTGAAGTTGATGTGAGCTTCGCAATCGAAACCCAGACTTTTCCACAAGCTGTCTCGCTGCATCATCAGTCTGTTGTGGGCTCCCTGGTTGCTGGCATGACGATCGGCACTGAAGACACGAGTTTTCTGCTTGAACACGTCTTCTGCCAACGACGTGGGGTCTGCATCGATCAGCGCTCGGGACATACACTCTATCGAATTGAACTGTATTCTGTGGCAAGTGTTCACTTGCGTGCCTATGAAGATCATGTATTTGTTCATGTCCTGCCCTGGGGGGCGATACTCGATTGTAAAAGCGAAGCCTGACCCGATGCAGAACAACTTCGTCCTAGTATCACCCTGCGTCCGCGGGCGTTTCACCGCCTGCAAAGCGAGCTGGCCGTTGAACGAAGGTAACACCAGTTGGCGCTGTCTATCTCCAGCGCCAGGGTCGCTCCTGCTGCCTCCTCGGATGTTCATGGGAGTCTCGTCGTATGCAGAAAAATCGACACATTGTATCATGCGCACCCGCGCGCCTGTGTTGGTAGCTGTGGCCAATCGGTTTGCCAAAGAATGTCTAAACAGCCTGTCAGCGCACCATAACAAAGTAGCAATTCGTTGCTTGTCAATCTGAAGTGTTTTCCTATTCTCACCAACTTTTTCGGATTGATCTTCCAGTGCCATTCTAGATTGCAATATTCGTCCCTCCTGTATCATCACGGCAAGGGGCTCCGTCAGCTCGCTAATGTAGCGTTTTGCTCTCGCCATTGCGTTTCCTACAAGACTAACCATCGCATGAGGCACTTGCATGATTCGAGCTCTGGTAACTGACGCTAGTTCATCTCTTGTCAATCTCTGTAGAGCCTTCTCCTGCTCCTGTTGACGCGCAAGTTTTCTCCTGGTGTTTGCCTCCACGGCCAGTGCCTGCACCTCTCTGATGTTACGGCGTGGCATCTCGAGCTAGAGTGCACATCGGTGAACCCTGCTTCCCTTCAGGCAAAATGCCAAGGGGATGTGTGGAATGGAGAAAGCCGTGTAACATTCGAATCAAAACGGCAACGCGCGAGGAGAATGCGGACGAGGAGGGGGACAATGAGGATAAATGGTGAGGAAGGAGGCAGCAGACAGGAACGGAGAGGACACTAAGGAGCAAGAAGAGAGGGGGGGGGGGAACCTTACACCTCTTTCGCTTTGTATTATTGCACATTGCTGCCATCCCTCCTCGGTTTCCTTCCCCCTCCTTCTCCCCCCACCCTCCTCTTCCACGTTTTTTTATCTGCGATGCGCAACCTTTTGAGCCGCCGTTTAGCGGTGCTGGTGTTTGTAGTTTGTGTTAATGTAGTTGGTTTCGACACGTCCTTCGGGGGGATACGCGCAGTGCCCTTGATTGTTTCGTTGAGGCCCCGTGTGCTAAGGACATTTTACTCCGACAGGCCCAACCTTTTGCAAGCATTTTGCTAGGGTCTCCCCCCGAGGATACGCATGATATCTTGCAGACGTTTTTCGTTGTTAATGGGGATCCTCTAAGCCTAGCCCACACCGCCCATCACGGGACGAGAACTCCACGGCCATTCGGCTTCAGGGACCTCTTGCAGGTCGTTGATGGGGCGGCAGTCGGCACAGTCTGGCAACAACCAGCCTTGCACATCGATGACGAGACGGCACCGGCTGAGGGGTGCGCCGAAACGAGGCGAATTGCCATGCGGACCCTGTCCCGTGCGCTGGCGCGTGGGGAGTCACCGTGCGGACCCTGCCACTTCGGCCGTCAGTGGAGCTCATAATATCTGTGGGGCCACGCAACGTGTGAGGAATACGCCGACACAAGGCAAGGTGGCGCCATACGACCGCAGCCGCTGGAGCCTTCGGTGGAGACTCCGATCGGGCTAACTACACGCGGGAGGGGTGTGCCAGAAGGGACCCGAGTCACCATGCGGATGCAGTCGCTAGGACCTTCGGTGGTGCTCCCATGTGGCCACGAAACGAGGGAGGTGTGTGTGCTAGAAGCGGCCAGAATCACCATGCGGGCGCAGTCACTGCAACTTCGGGTGGAGCTCCCGATGGGGCCACGAAACGTGGAAGGGGTGCGCCAGAAGGGACCCGAGTCACCATGCGGGCGTGGGAGGGGTGCGCCAGAAGCGGCCAGAATCACCATGCGGGCGCAGTCACTGCCATCCGGTGGAGCTCCCGATGGGGCCACGAAACGTGGTAGGGGTGTGTCAGAAGCGACCCGAGCCACCATGCGGACGCAACCACTATGGCCTTCGGTGGAGCTCCCGATGGGGCCACGAAACGTGGGAGGTGTGTGCCAGAAGCGGCCCGAGTCACCGTGCGGACGCAGCCACCCGGGCCTTCGGTTGGAGCCCACACGGGGCCACGAAGCGTGTGAGGGGCGTGCCAGAACAAGCAGGCGGAAGGCTGAAGCAACGAGAGGAAGCGGATGAGAACCCGGGACCTCGGTGAAGCTCCCGATGAGTACTCGAAATGTGTAAGGGGTGTGCCGAGGGAGCAGGACAGAGGAAGTGGAGGGAGGAAGAGGAGAGAGGGAGGGGGAGGAGGATGAAAGGAGGAGACGCGCGGCGATGCGGATTCAAAACGAG